TTCATCCTTTTCATTTCTTCTCCAATCTTTGAGAACATTTTCAAGACCCAAAAAACATTCGGTCAGGGTGCTTGTTGCCTTGGAGACATCATGACAAATCTTATTTGTGGACTCACTTCTTTGCGTTGATAGGATCCCCATTCCAAAAATTTCTTTATTGAAGGCGGTTTACCACTTATGCCTAATATTATATAATTCATCCAACCAAACATTCTCGTGTAGTTTTCCTTTCTCGATCATTTCACCCCAAGTTTCTTCAAACTCCTCTTCAGAGTCACATTTGCTCAAGCATTTATAAAAAAGATCATTGACTCTCTTGCTACCGATGCCACAATGGACTTTTGAAGATAACTTCTTGTAGATGTGCCATTGACATAATCTATGTCTGGTTTTCGGAAGACACTCTTCAATAGCTTTAGACATTGCTTGGTCCTGGTCAGTGAATATTGTTATCGGATGCTTGTTATCCATTATACGGATAAAAGCTCTGAATAACCACTTGAATGATTCAATTGTTTCATCTGACAAAAAACCAACACCAAATAGAACATTCTGCCAGTGATGATTCACACCGACAATCGGAGCACAACATAAATTGTATTTATTCAATCTATAACTTGTATCAAATATTATTACATCCCCAAAACAGTCATAATCAATCCTGGACATCCCGTCGCACCATAAAAAATTCACCAAACATCCTGCCTCATCAATTTGGAAGTCCCACGCAAACATTGGATCATCTGCTTGTCGGGTAGTGAACAATTGTATGAGAGAATTAGCATCCCCTAATTCAATCTGAACTCTTCTCTCTCTTTGTATGAAATTATATGCATCCCTCTTTGTGCAATCAAGATTCTCCACTCCTCCAACCTCATTTGCGAGGAATCTGAATGCATCGCTGGTTCTAATCCCTGATTTTGTCATTGTTCTGAGGATATCAGCATTGATATCACACATCTTTCTGCTGGAACGCAGTAGATGCTTGTCACCGTCCTCCGCCAACGGATGGTTGTGACTTTCTACAAATTTTTTTACCGACCAGTTGCCATCTAAATCAACGAAGTATCAGATCATTGCTGGACACACAGTCCTTGTGTCCGCTCTTTTGAACCTCACTGTGATAGTGTCCTTCAACTCTTTCTTGAAACCAGCCTTACCACAAACAAAGTCCTTTGTCTTCAACTTCTTAGAATTCGGCCAGAAACCACTGTGTTCCTTTCGCACAGTAAATCCAATATGGTGTGCATATAAACAATACTGTTCATATGCTTCATTCTCGTTCTGGACAACTGCATTAAGTAATTTCTCTGTATCGGGTGACTGCAGATTTAAACATCATAGATACAATGTTATAATACATAAAGAACAAAATAATAATACCATATTAATATCATAATAATACTATTCATAACATCAGCCCAGAACTTATATTATACCGAACAACCGGAGATGGAAAACAACTACAAAACCCAACCGGTGTATCACCGTGATAATACCTAAGTAACACCAAATCCACATGAAAGAAACGTTACGTTGTGGTACTACCAAAATAAAGCTGTGGTACGACCAAAATAACATCAAATCCTCAAGACATTGGCTTTACATTATGATACCACCAAAATAATGTTGTGATACTACCAAAATAACATCAAATCCTCGAGATTCTTTACACTATGATACCACCAAAATAACGCTGTGACACGACCAAAATAACACCAAATCCTCAAGACATTAGCTTTACATTATGATACTACCAAAATAACACTGTGATACTACCAAAATAACACCAAATCCTCCAGATTCTTTACATTATGATACAACCAAAATAACGCTGTGGTACGACCAAAATAACGCCAAATCCTCAAGACATTAGCTTTACATTATGATACCACCAAAATAACACTGTGATACTACCAAAATAACACCAAATCCTCCAGATTCTTTACATTATGATACAACCAAAATAACGCTGTGGTACGACCAAAATAACGCCAAATCCTCAAGACATTAGCTTTACATTATGATACCACCAAAATAACGCTGTGGTACGACCAAAATAACACCAAATCCTCAAGACATTAGCTTTACATTATGATACCACCAAAATAACGCTGTGGTACGACCAAAATAACACCAAATCCTCAAGACATTTTTTTTCCATCGAACCAGCTCCAGCGAACATGAGCGAAAAAATGAGAATATACCAGATACCAATACCCTAAAGCAGACAAAATGTCACTTTCTTCTGTTGGCGGGAATCGAAAATGACAAAAAAACGCTTTTTTTTGTTTTGGGCGGGATACGTCGGGTCGGAATACATGAAAAAGCTTATTTTTAAACTGTAAAGCCGCATTCCACGTGGCGAATTTTTATTCGGTACCGCATGTAAGGCTTCATGCGGTGCACGTACCGAATAAAAATTCCTATTCAGGAGAGAACCGACGCCTTGTCTATGGCTTTCTTTTTTATCTGTAAGTAGTTATTAGAAATTAATTTAATCTTAATATTTTTTGTATCATATCTCTATACTTTTTTCATATCAATAAAATTAATCTGCTTAATTCTCAAAATTTACATTATGATTTATTTTAATGACATTTAGTATATCATTAATGGAACACCTTGACTAGCTCAAATTATTGCTCACTAAGTTAGAAGATAGCAAGCTATATATTAATCTAAATAAATGTGAATTTGCTATGCCAGAGGACATTTTCTAGGATTCATTATTGATAATGGAGGAGTGAAAATGTATCAAATAAACATGGAAGTTATTAAATCATGACAGATTCCGAGCTCTCACACTAAAGCCCGAAGCTTTCACGATTTAGTCAGTTTCTATAGATGTTTTATTAGCAAATCGATACAATTGCAACTCCACTTACAATCTTCAAAAAAAAAACATTCACTTGGGATAACGAACAACACAGATAATTTTTGACAGGTCAAAATGATGTTTAAGTTTAGCCCCCATTCTTTGCGTAACCAATTTCCAGAAGCCATTTCTGGTAGAAATGGATGCTTCTGCAGTAGGAATCAGGTTTTTTCTTACTCAAGAAGGTACACTATTTGGAATTCTTTATTGAAATACTGAGCCCCACTTGACAAAAGTGGTCTATATAGGAGCAAGAACAATACACAATAATAGAGGTACTGAAAAAATCGCATATTTTATTGCCTATACAAAGATAATTGATGCACAAAATATAACTAAACATTTTTTCCATGAAATAGTTAAACTGCATGATATTTCAAGGAGTTTGACTTCAAACCGTGATGTTAAATTCATTAGTTTTTTTTTTTTTGGAAAGAATTGGAAAGAATTATGGAAGCATTTTTATACAGTCATTCTTCTAAGTTCACCAACGTTTTGAATCGAAATTTAGGTAGCATGATTCGTTGCATTGTTATTGAGAAATCTAAGAAATGAGATGAATGTCTATTATGGCAAAATTTGTATTCAACTTGATAGTGAATCGATCTACAGGTTGTTCCTCATTTAACATTGTCTATACAAAAAGATTAAACCTTATGGTTGGCTTCCTAAGCCTAAATGTAATAGTGCCACCAAGTAGGTAGAAGGCTTTAAATCCATGTTGAATGAAGTGAAGGAGAACCTTACCATATCCCCACAACATTACGAAATTACAATCCAACAAGAAGAGGAGATGAAAAATATTGGAAATCGATGATCTTAGTGATGGCATGACTCCGCAAAGAAAGATTTCTACAAGAACATATTAAATTGCAGCCCCCAAAAGATTGTGATCTCTCCCCTTCTAAAGCAAATAGATGATAATGCATATGTGCTTTCTTTTCCACCAAATTTCAATATCAATTCTACTTTCAATGTTTTGAAATTTTACACGTACAAATCTCCTGATGACAGACACGCGTCTTTTTGAACTAGACTCGAGTTCCTCTGAAGCTGAAGGGACCTGATGTAGACCATCTAGCTCTTCCTCAATTACTTCTTTCTTTCTTGCCTTGTACCTGCTCATAGTTCTATGTTTTCTTATATAACGCCTACTGTTAAGTATAATTACTTTGTGTTGTTTTATGCTACTATTAGCAATGTGGTCTCAATAGTTTGTTATGAGTATGCTTTTTGTACCCTGTCAGGCGCTATGGAGAGCGTTATTATTGATTTTCTCATTGTATTGGAGATTACCTTTCATGTTTCTTCACTTTTGTTGTTTCTGCTTGTGGTTTTTTTTGTTTAAGTACTCTGTCAATATTTATGTAATTCTTTCTTTACAATTTATTAAATAAAAGTGACGTCAACAACTCAATCTCGAATCAATTAAATTCGACTCTAGTTACCTTAACTATAAATAATTTCGATGTCAGTCAATGTTGAAGTTAATCTAAAATTAAAATAAATAAATAATCTTAACTAAAATTGATATTTTTTTTTTAGCTCAACTCTACCAACTGCAAGGTTGTCAAACATAACTCTTTCTCTCTCTCTCTCTTCCTCTCTTCTTTACATGTAGCTCTCTTCCTCTCTTTCCTTACTTGTATTATGGAGGCATGATATGAACCATCTGTTGTATTTATACATCGTGGGATACCTCTGAGTGACCATTGATAGTTCCATACCTAAACCGGAAGATGCTTGCATTACATCATCAGATCAGATGGAATATGCATTAGCTTTTCTTATGGGATTAAACGAGTCATTCGCCTAATTGCAAGACCAGCTGCTCTAAATGAAACAAATCCCACCGATTAACAATGTCTTCGCACTGATTTTAAAAAAAGAGCAGCGACGTTCTATTTCTCAGATGAGTCCGGGGATCGATAGCCAATGGTGTTTCTTTTGCTTTCAAGAATAACATATCAATAACACGAACAATGGGAATCATAAAGCCAATAAACGAGCTCGATTTTTCAGCTCCCATTGCAATCTTCATGTTTCGAACGACGACAGAGAAGTCAATTGAAAGAACAAAATTCTACGGTTAACCAACTATCTGCATGTACATTGACTGGAAACACAAGTTTCTTTCGAATTCTGACAAAAATCAATACCAACAACTGATGATGAAGCTATCCAACCACCTCGGTTCCATCACGACAGGTAGTGAATCTGCATCCACATCATGGGTCATTGGTATGTGCTTCTCTATCTCCACTATTTCCAGAAATGTCTCTTAAGAAGGATTTGGTCATGAATTCTTGTGTTTCAAACCATATTTGTTTAAATGCTCATATATTTCGTACCACGAGACATAAAAAACTCTACAGCGACCCTACCCGACGATACAAAAAGTTCAAGTCAACCTTTGTGGGGACATTGAATTAAATTCTAATTTAATTCTACATGATGTATTATTCATACCAAACTTTAAATTTAATTTAAATTTAACTTGCTAACTTTTAGTTTGCTTATGAAGGAAGAACATTTCACTGTGACATTTTTTTTCGTGATAATTTCACCATCCAAGACAATCACAAGTGTTAGGTATGGCTATATACCAGTAATTTGGAGTCTCTTGGATTTGGAGAGGTGTGTCTCCTGGAATGAAGATGTGTGTCTCTTGGTGTGAAGAGGTGTGTCTCTTGGATCAGTGGATTGGGAGGAGCGAGGGTGTGTTTGTAATTATTTGTAGGTTTTATCTATAAATAGATGTGTAACCCTATGGGTATGTAACTCCTCTGAAATAGTTAAACTCGCCGCTCTGCTCCTGAGGATATAGACATCTTTGCCGAACCTCCGAACCTCGTTAAATCTCGTTAAATCTCAGTGTGCTCTTCTGATTTTGTGTCATTTCTGTGTTTTCTTCGCCCTAAATTTTATAACAATTGGTATCAGAACGAGATTACGTTCTAGGGTGGAGGAGATCGGCGCGGGAAGAATGAGGAGGAAGAAGAAGGTTTTGGTTCAACAGTTTACGGCAATTCCTAGGACGTTCGCGAAATATCTGTGTTCACCAGAAGGAGTTTGAGTCCTGACGGAGGTGAAGGCGAAGGAATTGGCGAACGGTTTTGCAACATTTCAGAGTTCGCGCTTCGAAATTTTTCTAGCTTCGGTGATTTCGACTAGAAGAAGAAGAACTGTGGTAGTTCTTCGGACGGTTCGACGACAGGTGCGAGCAGGCCATCGGATCTGCAGAGGGTTCTGTGACAGGCGATCAGTTCGTGAGGTAGAGGCGATCTTCGACAGTAAGGGCTTCTTCCTCGACAGGCATTTAGCTTGGAGGAGTCTAGCAAGGAATCGCGGCAGATCGCAAGAAGTCGCGGACGGCACAGATTGCAGGTAGAGTTGCGGCAGGTGAAGTTGCGATAAGTGGTGCTCCGCCAGCGGAGTTTGCAAGTTTATCGCAGGTAGAGTTGCGGCAGGGGGGGGGGGGGGGGGGGTTGCGACAGGTGGTGCTCGGCCAGAGAAGTTCGCAAGTTTGTAGCAGGTGCAGTTGCGACAGGTTGTGCTAAGCCAAAGGAGTTCAAAAGTTTGTCGCAGGAGTTGCGGCAGGTGCAGTTGCGACATGTAGTGCTAAGCCAGAGGAGTTCGCAAGTTTGTCGCAGGAGGAGTTGCGACAGGTTGTGCTGAGCTAGAGGAGTTTGCAAGTTTGTCGCAGAAGTTGCGGTAGGTGCAGTTGCGACAGGTTGTGCTCGGCCAGAGGAGTTCGCAAGTTTATCGCAGGAGTTGCGGCAGGTGTAGTTGCGACAGGTTGTGTTAAGCCAGAAGAGTTTGCAAGTTTGTCACAGGAGAAATTGCGGCAGATGGAGTTTGCGAATTTCGCAGATTGTTCGCAGGTTTGTCGCATAAGAAATTGTGACAGGTGGAGTTTGGCTGGTGTCCACAGTATTTCAACCGAATTTTTATACGAATTGGAAAGACCTTCGTGTGAAAAATTTGATTCACGAATCACAGGAAACTGCGGGAAAATTGTTGCAATTGATAGTGAAAATTTCAGGTTTATTTGAATTTATATGTGGTGTGTTTTGTTTGAATACAAGACAGGAAAAGTTCACTGCAGAATCAATTTCAAATGACAATGTCTGGTGTAAAATTTGAGATAATGAAGTTCGATGAAACCAGAAACTTCGGATTATGACAAACAATGGTGAAAGATTTGTTGGCACAACAAAGAATTTTGAAAGCATTGCAAGCTATGAAACTTGATGGAACTGTTGGGGAGTACAGTTGTAGGTAGAGTTCACTCTGTCGGATCATATGATGAAAATGCAGTAGAAAAGTTAACCAAGTCAGGTATTTTCAACAAGTTCTAGTGTTACTTGAACTTGTTAAATGTTTGCAGTTGCTAGTTGGCATGGTTGCCCAACCCACATCGGTGTAAGAAACTCCATGATTTTTTCTCCTAAGGGGCTGGATATTCGCAAGGTGGAGATTTTCTCCTAAGAGGCTGGATATTCGCTAAGGTGGAGAATTGTTAGGTATGACTCATATACCAGGAATTTGGAGTCTCTTGGATTTGGAGCGGTGTGTCTCCTGGAATGAAGAGATGTGTCTTTTGGTGTAAAGAGGTGTGTCTCTTGGATTATTGGGTTGCAGAGAGCGAGGGCGTGTTTGTAATTATCTGTGAGTTTTATTTATAAATAGATGTGTAACCCTATGGGTATGTAGCTCCTCTGAAATAGTTAAATTCGTCGCTCTACTCCCGAGGATGTAAACATCTTTGCCGAAACTTTTTAAATCTCAGTGTGTTCTTCTGATTTTGTGTCGATTTATGTGTTTTCTTCGCCCTAAATTTCATAACAACTAGAAGAGTATTGGCAAGTGTAATAGAAAATGTGATCTCTAAATTCTTGAATTAGAATCTTCAAATAATGATTTGTATGGATTAATGTAAATAGCAATTCGGCTCGTAAATGACATCATACATTAGGGCATCCTTCATTTGAGAAAGAGAATCATCTCAAGGATGAGATAAAGTGTGATGATGTCTCTAATTTTAATAAAAAAAATTCTTGCTATGTGTGTCCCTTAGCCGAATAATGTCGTTCATCATTTGTATCACATAACCATATGTCTTAACATTCTTTCAACTCAATACATTATGATATATTGAGACCTTATCATGCATCTGCTCACACCGATCATCATTATTTTTTGACTTTAGTTGATGATCACATAAAGTTCACATGGATTTGTATGTTAAGACACAAATCTAAAGCTTCTAAAGAAATTCCAAAAAACTTTCAGCATGATAGCAAAACAATGTACACTAAAATCAAAATTTTTTAGTTTGACAATGCTAAGGAGTCGGCCCTCATTGTTTTCTTCAGTAATGAAGGTGTTCTACATCGATTTTCACGTGTCAGTCTGTAATAACTAAAAAATAAAATAAAACATAATAAAAAATGAATTTTATTGAGCTGCATCAATTCAAAATGCCTTGACATTTAGTCTTAAAGAGATGAGTGTCCCCTTTGAAGTAAATCAAAGAAGTGGAAGAATGATAGGTCGAGTGGAGGTATCTCGGGTGCATTTGGTAGCAGAATGTTGATGTGCAGAAAAAAAGATGTTTATTTTTTTTTATATTTTTGTACATTTTTATGGATGAAATTGTATTTTAAAGAAATGTATTTTTTTTGTTTTTTCTACAATAGGTATTAGAAGTGGAGGAAAGTGCAAAATACATGAAGCAAAGTAGAGGTGATTTGGAGATAAGGAGGTTACAAGGGACCGACGCCTAGGCGTCTGAATCCTTTGGCGCCTAGGCTCCAGTCTCAAACCTGAAAACCAGAGGTATGACGCTTAAGCGCCAGCCATTGGGTGCCTAGGAGACTCTTCAACAATGCCTTGGCGTCAGACTTTTGGGAGCCTAGGTGCCCATACCATAGCAGACAAACAAAGAGACTAACACCTAGTTGCCAGCTGCGTGGTGTCTGACCAAAGGAAAATATGTTGAGATTTTCATACCTATTTTACACTGATTTTGATGATATTGTACTTTAAAGAAATGTATTTTTGATGTTTCATTGCATGTATGTTGAATTATGGTCATTGGAGCAAAAATGTGAAAAAATGAGTGAATTTGGAGCAAAAAGGACCAAACTATGAAGATTTTAACTTGAGCGCCGACGACGGGTTTTTCCCAAGAGATCAGAAATCAAATATTCTAGAAGGACGCCGACAACGAGCATGTCGGTTCTCTCAATAGATGCATTGAATGTGGACGATTTTTTAAGGGACGCTTAGGCAACTCTTGAAAACTCTTCTACAACTTTAAGAGAAACATTTGAAGGCCGAAAAAGGGGGTGTCCGCTGAGTCTTTGTTGTTTGTGGTGCCCATTAGAGTGTAGAGAGTGTAATTTAGGGTTAGTATTATGAGGAATTTTTTGAGGGATTGTAAGAGTGGAAGAAAAGTGAGACCTCATTGCCGCTTCGAATCCTCATTGCCGCTTCGAAGAAGAATTCTGTGTGCTGTAAAGAAAGGAAGAAATTCAGAGGAACTTTGAGGAGTTTTGCTTCGGGAGGAATTTGAGATAAATGGTATTTACTTATTGAAGTTTATGTGACTTTGCTTTTATATATAAATTCCAAGTTTTGTCGTATCTTCTCCAGAAGTTCTGAGTAGTTTTCTCTGTTTTTCTCTTTGTCTTGAGATTTTGTGAAATTATGATTTGAATTGGTTGAGTCATGAGAATGTTAAAGAAATTGTGATGATATTTTCACTTCAATCTTAATTTACTTTCAATCTGGCTAATTGATTTGTTAAAATATGTTGAGTTTTACAACTAAAGTGAAGATTACATCCAAGATTTAGGGAGGTCAAATTCCTTGAAAGTTGGGCGCAAATAAATAGGGAAATAAAAATTATCGGGCGTAGAATTGGAGATTTTAGAGTGACAGACTAAAATCCTCTATTCAGTCCTATCGTTTGGGTGCTGAAGTGTAGATGTTAGCCCTCAGACGAGGGGAACGTGGGAGCTCTGAAGTGAGAGCCGGTATCCTCCCAGTCTTGCCGCAGATTCAGTAACCAAGCATATGATTAGTCAATGTTCTTTATGTCTGGTCCAAAGGGTAAAGAATAAGTATGCTCCTATTTGGCACAATACATTTTGAACGTATTCAATTTATCCATTCACTTAAATTTCTTGACAAGAGGAATGATGTTTTCTTATATATTGAACTTCACATTAGAAACTATATTAGTATAATTAGTTAATTAAGAGTTTATTAAAATTATATTTTTATTTCAATTGCCTATTAGTGACAAATATGCAATTTGAACTATATTGTTGTGATTAAGTATTGATTTTTTAAATCTTAGTTCGTAGCCTCTAATATTACTCCCTGTGGGATCGATATCTAGGACTCCATTAGAGCCCTGTATTACTTGAGCGATACGTATACTTGCGTTGATAAGTGTGACTTTGCAATTATTGAATATTTTATACACATTTTTATCAAATCTATAATCGCTGTCAAGTTTTTGGCGTCGTTGCCGAAGATTTAAATCTTCTAGCAGCAGTATTAAATTCTTGTATTTTTAAGCATATATAAAGTCGTTGTCAGTGCCTAGGCACCAAAAACTGTCTGGGCATTTTTCAACAATTTGAAACCATGATTTGGAGAGTTATTCATCCGGATAAAAGAGCTCTTTTTGGTGGAGAAAAGTAGTCTTTAATAAATGAGGTCTTAATGTTGGGTTATCCTAATAAAATATCTGGAATCATCTAGCTAAGGACCCTAAACTAAGGGCTTCTTGGGAGGGAGCCCAAGTTTGTATTTGTGCTTGTATTTGTGTTTGTGATTGTTGTAGTAGTTGTGTGATTATGTTTGTGTTGGTGTAGTGAATGATTTTCTTTGATTAGGATTGTGAGATATGAGGGAGGTTAATCCTTAATTTTCTCCTTATTACTGGACTTATGTATGTCTTTTGTGGTAGTATGAAAAACCTTGTACTCGACATGCTAGTTCTCAATCGAACACAAGGATTTACATAAGTCATGTTGAGTTTGATCATAGGATGGGTCCATCTTAATTCTTTAATTCTTATTTACGACATTGTTCTTCTATCGTGATTAGTTCAATAAACTAACTATTAGAGGAGCATGCAGATGATATTTTCATTGAACTGATAGAGGTGTATACTTTATTGGACAACATAGTACTTAGAGGTTGACAACACATAAGTCAATAGAAATGGTACTATTTGGACCTGAATATCTTTAAAAAGATGTGTAAAAACACCCAATAGTCAATAGAAGGAGCTTCCATTGGAGATGAGAATTTGGAGAAGGGAGATGTGGTGAGAAGGAGGATGAGTTATCCTCATTAAGATTGTGTTTGTTTGTGTAGTGGTTGTGATTAAGGATTTCAGGAGGATCAAATATTGCAAATTATGAGCAGGAGAAAAACTGGACCTGGCACCTAGGCGTCGATAATTTGGCGCCAAGGCATCACTATGCACAGAAACAGCGCCTAGGCGCCGCTTTCACTTGCTCGACATAATCGGCCAAACCGGTCGGTTTAAGTCATTTTCACGAAATTTCCTCCACGACTCCTCTTCGTCAACTGAGAGACGATGCTTAGGGCTTCCCTTTGCCATCCTTTTTCGCTTGATTCTTGAAGTTTTGGTGAGTGGACATCACTTCCATGAGGTAAAATCCAATCTCTAAGCTTGTTCTTCCAATTTGTATTAGAGATTTTTCGAATTTTTTTGGTGGAGAAGGTGAAAGTGGAGATTTTTGGAGAGAATTCTGATTTAGCGTATAGCTTGCATGTAGTGTGCATCAACATCAATTTTTAGCCTCATTCTCTTGGATTTTCAATGTTATTGCTT